TTCGCCGCCTCGGCGGCTTGGCGCGGCCAGTTTTTCCCCATGAGCTGGGCGACGTTCACGGCCGCTACACCAGTATACCCCCCAAGAGTGATCACAGGGGCCCACGCCTTCAGCGTGTCCAACGTGATTTCGCCTGCCTGTACCATTCGGAGGCGCTTCGGCTTGAAAGACACTGCCTGGCCCAAGAGGGCCCCGCAAGAGGCCCAAGAGAGCCCCAAGACGGCCTCAGGAGCGCCCAACAGCGCTCCAAGAGCGCCCCAAGAGCGCCCCAAGAGGCGATGTTTGGAGCTCCTGAGGGGGGAGGCTAATTCGGGGCACCCCCTTCGTTGATCGATCTCCTCCAAGATGGCCCCAAAAGCGCCCCTACAGCCCCCAAGAGCGCCCCGAGAGCGCCCCAAGAGGCGCCCAGACGGCCCCAAGAGGCGCCCAAGAGGCTTCCAAGAGGCTCCCAAGAGACCCCCAAGAAGCCTCAAGAAGATCTCCGAAATGCATTTAAGACGTTTCTGGCTCTTCGGTTCGCCGTCCTCTTCAATTTATCATCCCCCTCTTCCTCCTCCTTTTCCTCCTTCTCCTCCTTCTCCTCCCTCTGCTCCTTCTCCTCCTCCTCGTCCTCCTCGTCCTCTCCCTACTCCACATCCTCCTCCTCATTCTCCTACTCCTCCTCCTCCTCCTCCTCTTCCTCCCCCTCCCCCTCCGACGAGGATTCCTTCTCCATCCTCCCCCTCTTGGGGTACGTGACAGCTTCCCCCGCCCTTTGTTATTCCGCATGCTCCCCAACTTCCCTGATCACCTCAACTCCCCTGGGCATCGTTTCTGGATGGGCTGGTGGGGATACGCGAAACGCCAACAGTTTGTGTCAATGCAAATCCCTAGCGAAGCGCATCCAGGGGGGTTCCCGGTGGACGCCTGGAGCCGATCTTGGGCCGTCTTGGAGAAGTGGAAAGTGGAAAAGTGGAACAGAAAAATAGAAAAGTGGAAAAGTGGAAAAGTGGAAAAGTTAGCCTTGTGTCTCAGGGGTTCCTTGCTTTTCCACTTTTCCACTTTTCTACTTTTCCACTTTTCTACGTTTCTGGTTTTCTGAAATTCGTTCGGGCTTTTCCACTTTTCCACTTTTCCACTTTTCCATTTGCTCTGTTCTTTTTCTACTTTTCAACTTTTCCACTTTCCCACTTTTCTAACTGTCGTTGCACTTTTCCACTTTTCCACTTTTCCATGTGTATCGTGCTTTTCCACTTTTCCAATGGAGGTTTGTACTTTTCCACTTTTCCACTTTTCTACTTCTGGTCGGAACGTTTTCGCACTATTTGAACGAGCCCAGGCTTACTTCCTTAGGCCACTGCGGCCTTCGGTGGAACTCCTTGCTGGGCTGCGAAACGCAATACTGGGTGGCGCAGGACGCATGTGGCCACAGCCACTGGGGCCTTCGGTGGAATTTCCAATGGGGCCACGAAACGCAATACTGGGTGGCGCAGGCCGCATGTAGTCACAGCCAGGGGGGCCTTCGGTAGAGCTCTCTATGGGGCCACGGAATGCCGTATTGCGTGGCGCCGTACGCATGTGGTCACTGCCACTGGGGCCTTCGGTGGAGCTGCCGATTGGGCTGCGAAAGGCAGCACTGGGTGGCGCGGGACACATGTGGTCACAACCACTGGGGATTCGGTGGAGCTTCATAGGGGGTACGGAGCGCCGTACTGGGTTTCGCGGGAGGCATGTGGTCACAACAACTGGGGTTGTCTTCGGTGGAGCCCCCTACGGGGCAACGAATTGCTGTACTGGGTGGCGCGGGGCGCATGTGGTCACAACCACTGGGCCATTTGGTGGAGCTTCATACAGGGCTATGAGGCACCGTACTGGATGGCGCGGGACGCATGTAGCCACAACCACTGGGGCCTTCGGCGGAGCTCCTCATGGGCCGCGGAACGCAATACTGGGTGGCGCGGGACGCAGGTGGTCACAACCATTGGGGCCTTCGGTGGAACTCCCTGAAGCGCCACGAGACGCCATACTGGGTGCGCCGGAATGGACATCCAGAGGACAGAGGCAAGGGTGGAAGGAGGGGCGACGAGGAAAAGGAAGAACGCGGGGCGCTGTCGCGCCGAAGCGGGGACCTATCACCACAAGATGGTTGGGAATAGCTGTACACTGGGAATGCATTGGGGTCGGATATGTCGTTGACAAATCCAGCTTGTCCTCCTCCCTCTATCCGCTCTCCCACCTCCTCCTTTCCCCTTGTCCACTCCCCCTTTTCGTTCCCATTCATCCTCTTCCGCGTAACCTTTCCTGATTCCTTCCATCTTCTGTTCGTATCTCCCCCACCACCACCACCACAGCCTCTCCTTCCTCGCCTCTCCTCCTCATCATCCGTCTCCTCCTCTTCCTCTTCCTCCTCCTCCTTCTCCTTCTCCTGCTCCTCCTCCTCCTCCTCCTCCTCACCCTTCTCTTTCCTCCTTCTCCTCTTCCCCCCCCAAACCTCAAATCCCCCTTCCTTTCTCTCATCACTCTTCTGTTATTCACGGCCCTCCCTCCACACATCCTCTGCACCACCGCTGCTCCATTCCCCCTCCTCAGGCGATCCGCTCGTGCTGTCGTTCGTCGATCGTCGTAAACCACCCCCCTCGCGACATATCCCAACAGTCGGCTCCACCGTCTGATGTTGGCGCCCGAGGCCATTAGAAAACGGCTCCACCGCCTGCTGCCGACGCTTGGGCAGACCACGGATCCAGCGGCCTAGAACTGGACGGCCGCCAACTGCACACAACCTCCTGGCCAGACACCTTCTGGACCCCCAGCCTGGGCATGTACACCCTCCTGGCCTGGCCAAGAAATCGCGTGGACCGGTCCAAAAACTGGTAAAGCCAGACGGGCATAGTTTACGCCCGCCTCCCAAATTAAACATCTCAGATCGGATTGATTCGGTATTGTGCTACAACGGTGCTGAAAGTATTATAGCCGCAGGCACGGCAGACAGACCGACATGGTCGAAACAAAATAAGACAACCCAGAGCAAAAGCCATGCACAGAGACGGTGCGCCGCTGAGAGCTTCGGGTGAGCACAAGACCTGGAGGTCTTTGTAGAAATCATGTCATGGCGGTTCCACCATGGACAAGGCGCTGTCCTACCCTGTGACGCGAATATCGTGCATCGTGACGGGGCGGCCCTACAGTCAACCCGTATAGGTACCGTATAGGAAGGATGCGCGGTAATGATGCAAGGGCCTTGGATGGCCATGTTGACGATTTTCGGATGAGGTTGGCAAGCGGAAGTCGCAAGAATGGGCCGACAGGGGAGGATGCAAGAGTCACCTTGGAAAGTCGCTCGTCCTTGCTATGCGGTGTGGCTGTATTTCCTCACAAGTACTGGCGAGGTATTGGCGATGCGGCGCGATCCCGCGACACCGCCTGCTCCGGCCCCACGTGGGAAAGCGGGAAGCGGGAACGAAACAGCGGTGGGGGGGCTCGCCCGCGCCTCGGGCCCATGGAGGGCGGCCGGGCTCGCTGACACAAAAAATCGGCGGCGCAAGAGCCTCGCGCCGTGATTCAGAGGAAGGCGGCCTGAGACCAGATGCAAAACAAAAAACAGCATAAGCATGAGCTCGTGGTCCGCGCGGATCCGTTGGATCTGGGCCAGAAACCACTTCCCTGGCGCGCGGAGCGCGCCAGGGGCGGCGCCAGGGGCGCTGCCAGGGGGGCCCCAGAGCGGATCCAAGAAATCCGCGCGGGCCGTCGAAGTTTCCTTATGCTTATGCAGTTTTCTTTTCTCCAAGAGACACTCCGCCTTCTCCTCCTTCTCCTCTCCCTCCTCCGCCTCCTCCTCCTCCTCCGCCTCCGCCTCCGCCTCCGCCTCCGCCTCCGCCTCCTCCGCCACCGCCTCCGCCTCCTCCTCCTCCTCCGCCTCCGCCTCCTCCTCCTCTCCTCCTTCTCCTCCTCCTCCTCCTCCTCCATTCCTCTTCCTTATGAATAACTTGTCCCTGTCGCACACCGAGACCAGTTTTTAGGGCGGGCCCGTCGTTTCGCCTGAGACTTCGCCTCCTCCTCCTCCTCCTCCTCCTTCTCCCCCTCCTCCTCCTCCTCCTCCTCCTCCTCTTCCTCCTCCTCATCGACCTAGTCAGGAGGAGGATCTCAAAATCGATGCCCAGACCCCAAAGGTCCACAATTCAAGCGCACCAGTTGCTGCCGCGCCGCGGGGCCGGCCAGATTGCGACGAGGGGACTCCAAACAAAAGGGCCAACTGCTCACTCGTGTCTGGAAAGGCCCTCCTCCGAGTGGCTCAGAAGAAGACGCAGGCGCAGGAGAAGGAGGAGGAGGAGGAGGAGGAGGAGGAGGAATAGAAAGAGGAGGGGGGGAGGAGGAGGATGAGGATGATGAGGAGGAGGAGGAGCAAGAGGAGGGGGAGGAGGAGGAGGAAGAGGAGAAAGGAGAGGGAGGAGGAGGAGGAGGAGGAGAAGGAGGAGGAGCGGGAGAGGAGGAAGAGGAGGGGGAGGAGGAGGAGGAGGAGGAGGAGTAGGAGGAGGAGGAGGAGGAGAAGGAGGAGGAGGATGAGAGCCTGGTATGGCGTCGCATCGTGGGGGGGCCATACATGCGGGGGGGGAGACAGAGAATAAGAAGAAGACACGGCATAAACATATGGCGCTCCGTGCGGACTGCTTGGATCTGCGCTGGGCCCCCCTCCCTGACGCGCGGCGCGCGCCAGGTGCGGCGCCAGAGGCGCCGCGAGGGGTGGGGGGTGCCGTCGTGGATCCAAGAGATCCGCGCCGAGCGCCAAAAGTTTATGTTTATGGCGATGCGTTATCTTCGAAGCAAGGTGCACTCTTCGGGCCTAAGGTAGCTTTCGGACTCCAAAGGGGCCCTTCAGGGCCCTGGTAGGCATCTTTTCTGCAGCCATCGCTATCCCGCAACTTTTCGCCCCCCCCATTTCGCGACGCCTAACCTGGGGCCTGAAAGACGCGACCAGGTGGTCGGTCGCAGGGTGGTCTCGAAGGCGAGCACGATGTGCTGGTCTGCTAGAGGGCGTCCATGCCCTCCCTGGTCGTGGGCAAGGTGCAGACGTCGAGGTGCGAGCAACGCCCATCCGAGCTCCAGATGAAGCTTGAGAAGAGCTCGATCGCCCTCTCCGGGCCAATACCCCCCTCCCGCTCGCTGAGGATCACGTACTTGTCCGAGCCGATGGGGTCGGAGAGCGCAAGCACGCGGTCCGGGGCCAACCCGGGCAAGGACGAGACCCCCGCCACCCCTGGCACCGCCATCCTCCGAGCAACCACAACCACCACGACAACAAGCTTCCGGAGCTCCGCGCGGATTTTTCCTGGCTCGGCGATGGAGTCCTCCCTGGATCGCGCGCAAACACGCACCAGGGGTAGCGCGAGAGGACATCCGCGCCGGTCCAGGCAGTTCGCGCAGAGCTCCGAAAGTTCACATGCTCATGCCAATCCCACCAGCACTCTTCCACCCCTCCTTCTTCCCCTTCGGGGAGGGGTTTATCCCTCTCCCTACCCCCTCCCGTGGACCTGGCCAGGGGGCTTCGCGAGATGTCGGAGCGTCCAAAACGGCCTCGGCGAGGAAGCCAAAATCATCGGCATCGTTCCTGGATGGGCTGGTGGGGCTACGCGAAGCGTCTAGAGGTTCTGTTGCTCGACTCCTCGAGACCGGCGTGCTGGCCCCCACGCCCGCGGCGGCGCCCCAGGCCTGCGGCCGGCGGGCGGCCTCCTCCGCGGGCGCGCGCGGGCCCGGGCCCGGCCGGGCCCCCAGGGCGCGGCCCAGCGGCAAGCCCAGCCTGCGCGCGATCCCCGCTCCGCGCGTTCCGACCACCATGGCAGGCTCACGAACCGTCGGCGGCGATGGTCTGGAGTCCCGGAACGGTGCCGCGGCAGGCCGTGCGGTGACCAAAGGGTCCGTCACCGCACGGTCTTACCAAAGGGTCCGTCACCGCACGGTCTTGGGACCTCGGAGGCCCCACTCGCCCGAGACATCCTCGGAGAGGAACTCGAGTCCCGAAACCGTGCGGTGACCCCGAATCCCCACCGACTCACCGCACGGTGTGGTCACCACCCCGTTTGGGGGCCCCCGAGATGGGGGCGCGGCTGCGAGGCGACGGCCGCGGCCGGGACGCGGCGCGAGCAAAACCTGAGCCCGAATGGCTACGACCTGGGCGCGGCGTGCCAGCCGAGGGAGTCGGCGCCCTTCAGAGTCCCACGGGAAGGCGGCAAGAAAGGACAGGCTCCATGGAGCATGCCTTGATCCTGTGGATGCCCCGAACCTCCTAGCAATACTGGTCTGTCTACGGTGGGTGCTCATGCGGCAACTGCTACCGCGACCGTCAGCGCTACTGCCGCTGCCGTTGCTTCTCACTCTGTCACTTGTGCTCATGTTCAGCAGCTGACCTCCCGAACTCAGCAACTGACTGACTGAGCCAAGGCGGTTAAATGGCAGCCGTATCGGCGGAGGGCGAGGATGGTTTGGAAAGCAACTTTCTCCAAATGGCTTGCCCATTGAGTTCCCCCCAGCGGGATTGGATTTGCCCTTGTGACGCATGTCGGGTGCGCAAGGGGGGTGCGGTGCGGAGAGGGGGTTGCGTATGTGGTTTCGCACGCAAAGTCGTGGCATTGTTTGTTTGCTTGCTTGATTGCTTATTATAGTAGTTGCGTGCGTGTTGGATTGTATGGTTGTGTGCTTGCCCAATTGCCTCACGACTTCCATGCTTCCGCGCTTGATCAACGTTGCGTATACTTTCTGCACCGTCGTTCTCTCCAGCCATTCCTTTCCTTCCTTGATTTCTTGTGCACTTGATGGCTAGATTAAGTTTGTTTCAAATCATTGATAGCTTGAATTGCTGCGTCGTTGCTTCCTTGCATGCGTTCTGTGCTGCCTTGCTCGCTGACCTGCTTGCTTTGTTGCCCAGTTGCTAGCGACCTTCCATGCCTGCCACACGTGTTTGCCTGCTTGGCTGCTCCATTGATTCCTTACTCGCGTCATCATCGCCATCGCCGCCTTCTGTTCTTGAAGTCGATTCGAGTGCCCGTCAGCGAGATCAAGGACTTTCGAGCACTCCTCAGATGCTGTCAAGGGACCACAATTCGACCCCACACACGACGCCGCGCATCGACGCTGACATGAAAACTGCCATGTGCGCAGCGGGAAGGGATGTGCGCAATGGGAAGGGACGGAGGGGGGCCCATGCCGACCTGCGATGGGTTCAGATCCCAACCGGACGCGTGAGATCCCAACCGGACGGTTCAGATCCCAACCGTCCAAGACACAAGGCACGGTCAGATCCCAACCGAGGAGGAAGCGAATAAAGAAAACATATTGAAATGTTACCATACTTGTTCATTGCTATCAGAAATTGCGATGGGCACCTTACAGGAGCAGACTTTCGCCTGAGTGATTGCGGTTGGGATTTCGCGCGTCTTTTGCGGGATCGTAGTAGTGGTAGAAGTAGTACTGGTAGTAGTAGTAGTAGTAGAAGTAGTAGTAGTAGTAGTAGTAGTAGTACTAGTAGTACTAGTAGTACTAGTACTAGTACTAGTACTAGTACTAGTACTAGTATAGTAGTAAGTAGTAGTACTAGTAGACGTAGTAGTAGTAGTAGTAGTGCGTAAGTATAGAGTAGTAGTAGTTAGTAGTAGTAGTAGTAGTAGTAGTATAGTACTAGTAGTAGTTGTAGTCGATGTAAAGTAGTAGTAGTACTACTACTAAGGAGTAGTGAGTAGTAGTAGTAGTAGTAGTAGTAGTAGTAGTAGTAGTTAGTAGCAGTAGTAGTCGTAGTAGTAGTAGTAGTAGTAGTAGTAGTAGTAGTAGTAGTAGTAGTAAGTAGTAGTAATAGTAGTAGTATTGGTAGTAGTAGTAGTAGTAGTAGTAGTAGTAGTAGTAGTAGTAACGGTAGAAATAGCAGAAGTACTAGCAGGAGTAGTAGTACTCGTAGTAGTAGTAGTAGTAGTAGTAGTAGTAGTAGTAAGAGTAGTAGCCGTAGTAGTAGTCGTAGTAGTAGTAGTAGTCGTAGTCGTAGTCGTAGTCGTAGTAGTAGTAGTCGTAGTAGTAGTAGTAGTAGTGGTAGTACTAGTAGTAGTAGTAGTAGTAGTAGTAGTCGTAGTCGTAGTAGTAGTTGTAGTAGTGGTAGTCGTAGTCGTAGTAGTAGTAGTAGTAGTAGTAGTAGTAGTAGGAGTGGGAGTGGGAATAGTGGTAGTAGTAGTAGTAGTAGTATTAGACGTAGTCGTAGTCGTAGTCGTAGTAGTAGTAGTAGTAGTAGTAGTAGTAGTAGTGCGAGTAATAGTAGTAGTAGTAGTAATAGTAGTAATAGTAGAAGTAGTAGTAG